GCTGAATTAGAGCCACTGTGTTCGACCCTGTCCTCTATTTCTTTGATAGATTTCTTCATCACTCTCTGTCTCACTCTGCTTAGACTGGATTAAGGTGCAGGTAGCTAGAAACAGCTCATTTTAACTTCTGATTCATACATGACAACTTGCATTACAGAGAAGGGGAGAGATTCTTCTGCAAGACAATCTCAGTCACCCTTGATTTTTGGGGGGATTATTTCAAGATGGCTCATTGTGCGTAATAAGAGGTTTAGTCTTAGCTTAAAAGGTTTCTTGAAATTTCAGAAGGTTGAAGAGCCCTTAGATAATGACGGCTGTCTATTTAAGCAGCTCGTATTGATGCCATGTGTGTGTTCCTGGCTTTCTATGTTTAGGAGCGCATGGTTGGCCTCCTGTTTGATTAAACGTGTAAGGACCTTAGCTTTGCTCCATTAGGGTTGATTAAGCAGGAGTCTGTCATATCTTAATCATGAACTAATTTTGAGGGCAGTCTTCTACATAAACAAACAGCTTGTAGTATCCTTAAAGGGTAATTCCACCAATTGTTCAAAATTATATCAATAAGATTTAAACAAAGTCATTCAGAGTGGTTTGATGTGAGGTTGCCATGTCTGTAACACAAATATACTCATTTTATTTTCTATCTAAAATCACCAGTCAACCTGCTTGTATATTTTTCCATGTTTTATATGTTTTTACATGATGATGAAATAATGGTAAATCTGGGAAAAATATGTTTCTTTGGGTGCTGTTTTGCCATTTTATTTATCTATTTTTTTAATCCCTGCATGTACCTGTCTGTAATTTAAAAAAAATAGCCAAAAAGCTTATTTCATAACTACTGGAAAACAACGTCTCACACATCAGGTGATGTGTTTGTAACCATTTTGTGTAATAACTTGCTGTGAGGGAGCTTTTAGGGGCATTAAACTCTTCAGACCTCTCGTTCCTATCAACACCACTGTGAACAGTTCTGACTGTTCAGTTTCTCTAGAACTGAGCAGTTCATATCAAACCACTCTGAATGACTTTGTCTACATGTTAAGGATTTAATTAGACAGAAATTTAGAAAACCTGGTGGAATTCCCCTTTAACCACAGACTGAAGGCCTGCTTTTGGAAAATACCACTCCTGCTATAAAATGCAAGATTGCATCTAAACACCCAACAAAGTTCCTGCCTGGTTTAATAGTGTCCTAACTTAGGCTCCCTGAAAATGGATGAGTTTGCCTCAAGCAAGTGAACTCCACTCTGACCCCTGAATGTGTTTAATGTTAGTGTCCAGCCGGGCTTCTATCTGCCTTTATAATACTGCATGCTAGTGGTTCTTCCTGTAGATAAAGGCCAGTGAGAAAGAGAACGAGAGAGAGAGAGGAAGGTGGAGAGAAGGTGCTTACGTTCTGCAGGCATGACTGTTGTTTACCCAGACGGTTTGTTTCTGTTGATGAATGTTTACCCTCTCTACCACTCTGTCACTGCCATAGGCGCCTTTGTTTGGTCACTTTAGCGAAAGAGCTTCAGCCTTAGTAATGAGACAGCACACTTGCCAGAGGAAGGCAGTGCACTATTCATCAACATTCCGCTGATTAGTTAGCACTTCCGCACACCAGCCTTCATGAATATTAACTCCAGTCCAATATGAGCCCTCTCATACTCGCTAATGTCATTCAACCTGTGGACATAAATCATCGGCTTTGGACAGTCTAGCGGCACTAATAGGCTTTGCAGGCTTGCCCGATGATATGGAAGCTGATAGCTGGGTATAAATCACGCCAGGCTTTAGGAGGACTCATTTAACGGTGTTCTCTTTTGTTGTGGCTTCTACAGGAGAAGTTCAGGTTGTCGAGTTCCAAGTCAATTAAGCAGAAAATCTTCAGACGGATGTCATTTTTTAAAGAACTTTTCTGGCACTGAATAATATGGGGGCTTAGGTACTGGTCCATATTGTCAATCCTGGCTGATAAGGAAGCAGGCTTCAGTTGTGATTCAGACCTTATGGTTGGGAACTGAAGGGTTGCAGGGTCAATCGCAAGGAAATGGAGTCCGGGACAGATGTAGGTTCTAAGGTCCCTGAGGACTGTCATTGTGGTCTGGAACAAAACACTTAATCCCAAGTGCAGACCCTGGTTACCCTGTTGTGTTCTGAAAACACTGGTTTTAAATGTTCTCACTGTACGAAAATAAAGAAAACACAGACCTTAATATCAGGAAAGTAGGACTACAAATTGGCTAAAATGATGCGTGGCTAGAATTGGCTACAATGATCTAGTGGGTGTTAAGCTAACACCCACTAGAAACATCCAGTGAGCTCCAGAGCTAAAACTCTGAAATCTTGATTGATAAGATTGCTGTAGGTCTGTGTTTACTAGTTCAGTCCTTGAGAACCCTTGAACAGTTTATATTCATGCCTTATCCCAGCTCCCAGCATAGCTGTACTTGGTTGCTTTGTTCAGGTGTGTTGGTAGCTGCCATAAGGCAGTGTGGACTGTTTGGGAGTCCCAGAGGTCTGGATTGGGAAACACTGTTACAGACCAATGAACATTGTGTCCAAGGTTGTAGAAAAAGTACATCCCTAGACAGATGGTTAGAAAATCTTAGTGCATGATTTTATATAGCTTGCAGTTTGTTTAGACAAGACTGCTCTCCTCTACCCTGATTATTGTATCTAGATTACATCAACTACATTTAGCACTCATGGCCACTGGGTTTTGCTATGCAAACTGAAAGGTATCAATATAAAAAAAACTGTATTATCGTGTCTAAGGTGTACAATAAGGTTGGAACACTATCAGAGCAAAGATAATTTGTGGGGTGCCTCAGGGTTCTGTCCTAAGACCTAGTACCTGTTGTACCTCATGTACATCAATAACAGGGAGTCAGCTTGTTCTTGGCCACTGTTTTTATAAGCCGTTGGCTCTGGCAGGTTGGTTGTAGATAAAAGTAAGGAAATAGACACAAACCTGAGAAAAGATGAATGAATGTTTGGTTGATAAATGATCATAGCACAGTTATATAAAGCATTTTATTTGGCATTAGATACAAAGAGTTTGCAGTTTGTTTCTTCAATAAATAACAATGTTCCAGTGAAAAGTAGGTGTTCTGTATGAATTACATCAAGACTGTGGAATGCACAGCTGCAGAAAGATTGTACAAAGAAAGAGCTGTTAGCCAGGAAAAGGAGGCATTTAGATTTAGATACCTTGAGCACTTTGGCCATACTCAGGCTGTGCCTCATGGTGCAGTATCAGTACAAAAAGTTGAAGGTCAGGTTACAGAAAGTACAGTGCAAAGATTTTTTTTTCCATCTATACTATATATAAGCATATATCTATATCTATATATAAGCAGTATAATGCATTGCCAATGCCAGCAAAAATCTACCAGTTAATTAATTATTGCAATTCTACTCCCAGTTATTGAAAATGTAGAATATATAGCTGTAATATTCGTTGAAGGTATATCATTAAGCCTGTTGTTTACTTGTGAGCTTTGCTAATTGCCTAATTTAGCCACAATTCAGAGATGTCTTGGGACATGTTATCCAGGTGGTTATTATGCTGTAAATCCTTTATGATTTCTTTTATTAATTAGCCTCACTTGTCAATGTGAATTCAAATTGAAGTGAAAATGCCCCTCTGCTGTGAACACTTGGAGCACTTGCGTATGAAAGTGGCAAAACCGCTAGGTCAGATGTGTGAAATTATGCAAAGAGGTGCAATTTGTGTAACACTCTTTAACTCTGTCCCCTCAGACAAGGAGGCCATGTTGTTCAGAACTACAGGACATGTATGTTGTGGACATGTCAGTTACACTCAGAAGAGAATACGTCTGATGCAAATCTACAACATGACAAAGGCACAGTTGGTATTTAACGTCCATTTACCTTCAAAAAGGGTTATTAGGGCAGCCTGCACTGACGAGGAATGTTAGCTACACAGTAAGATCATTTAGAGGTTGTTGGCGTCTGATGGATCTTAATGCGTACGTATTGCACTGTTCAGTAAGTCTGTTTCATTTAAATATCCTCCCATTAGACTGAAACTAGAGTCTCTCTCTCTCTTTCACTCTCTCTTTGTCCTTTCTTATTCTCTTTATCTGACAGAGCCGTAGGCTTAAGGCTCATTTCATTTGCATTCAGTGTGGTGGTGTGAGACTTTATTCATTCTCTAAGATCAGTGCTGGAGGATGTTACGTGGAGTCGATGTATTTGATGTCCAAGTTAATAAGAGAGACATCTTGCGAAAGCCATGGGCTGCTCTTTGAAGATGAAACCACTGTTTCAAGGGAAACGTCTTGTTTCAGCTGTGCGCTTCGAATAGGAGAAGAATGAGAATAGTTTGGAATGTTGCTCTGCTGCACCTGAGACTGCAGGAGGAGGCTTGGTGGATGGAGGTGCTGAAGAGGCATCAACGGCTTTTTCACTGCTTTGGCAGTTCTGCCATCTGCTGGCTGTCAGTGGTACAGCAATCTAGAAGAGGTTCTTTACCATTTTTCAGTATCTGTCAGTGTTTTGGAAAAAAAAAAAGGCAGTTAAATGGAAATGAAGACTGACTTTTATTCCAGCACATTCTTCAACACAAGCTGGCATGTTGATTGACTTAAATATATTTATTAATTTCTCAGAAAATCCAGCTCTTTAACAAAAGTAGAGATGCTAAGCTTGCCAGACGAGACTATGCCACGCCCCCACTAAGCTGAAACAGTGCAGATGAACTCTAGGAGATGCAGGAATGAAGCTTTATGGGTTCTGGTGTTGGTAATACTTTGTTTATTACTTGTTATGAAAGCTTTATATTCTGTCTAGCACTGACTTATATAACCATTATAAGTAACCATTTTATAGTGTTGTGAATTCATATTGCTGTAACAGAAAACAACAATAGCTGTAAACTACTAGGGATCAAGCTGGGGCTTAAACCTGACTTTGCCAATGCTAAATACTAGACATGTGCTTTGTAACACAGCTGGTCATGTTTCTTTTTTCTTCATCTCTTCTAACAGATTCAATAAAATCCAGAACACAAAGAACACCATGAGGAAGGATGGAATCAGCTCGCTGACGTATCGCCTGGTCTCCATTAAAAAGTATCCGCTCTACACCAACATCTCCGTGGAAATCGGCAAACCCCCTCCCAGACCCATCAAAGGATAGACTGAGGCCAGGTCTCTCCAGCTCAGCAAACACACATACACACACAGACAAACATGTGCACACATAAACTGACCTGGGCGTCCGCCTCTAACTGCAGCACTGACATGCTGAACAGGTTAGTTCTCAGGAATACACACGGGGCCCTCCAGCAGCAGGCCTGATGTGGATCTATAATCAGAAATCCAAATCCACACAGAAATTCGAAGAAGTGGACTATGAATATGGTCTGTGGTCTGTCTACAAGCAGATAATATTTTGCTAAAGGGACTCACTTATGGAGCACAGTAAGCCATAGCACATATGGATGAATCCCTGCTCCAATAAACGTTCTTCTGAAAACTGGAGGACACAAACTGAACAGTGTTTCTGGAGGAGGATTGTTGCTTTTGAGGAGATTAGGTTCGTCAAACCGAATTACAAGAAAGGAGCGCCCTGTTCACTTGATGTAAATCAGTCAGAATCTACTGTACATTGCAGAAAATGAATGTCTTTGTACCTGCAGCTATTGCAGCGTCCAACTCTTTCTCTTCATATCTCTGAAGCTGAAGTTGCTTAACCGGTGCTTGAAGAAGGCTTTGTGGATCATCTTTCTCTTTTTTTTTCTCTCTGGATTTCCCACCTTTTCTTATTTTGTATGGTTTCTATTTTCCTGCTTTATGACTTCAACCAGGGAACTACATACACTCCTAAAGAGAAACACTGGGGATATTAAAAGCTGAGTGAACTGGATGGTCCTGGATAAGCTTAAACGAATACACAAGTGTCTCCAATACATGCTCTGCCTGGACCCCTGTCTTTGGTGGGGTTTGAAGCACTGATGGTTTCTCCTGGAGAAAGCAGGATACGTTGGAAACACTTGCTTAGAAAGAAAAAGGGATTGTGAGGAAGCTGCTGACGGTCACTTCTCCACAACTCCAAACAAAGGAAGACTCTCCATTGCAAGCTGTTATTTTAATTGATTGTTCACTTCTGCCTCAAACAATTATGTTCTCATGCTATCATACATCGGACATAGCCAGTGGCACTTCATCTAACACCTGTGCTGTTTCAGCTTAAGGAGGTCAGAACCATCTTGGCTGATGTTAGTTGGCTACTATGAGGGTGTGATCATGCTCATTCCAGAGCCTCAAAACCGGATTATAAATCACTGGAGGTAAAGATTTATTTGAACTGCAGTATTTTGTTGGTTTTACAGTTATTTTGCAAGCCTGTTGTATGTTTTGGTTTGATCTTATATTGCTCCCTTTTTCTGTTACTGCCTACAAACACCAAACTGATGCCTTCAGACTTTTTTGTGAGGAGACAAATGAGGGAATGCTGGATTTGTGTTGGGTTTTCTGTGTTAAGTGAGATTTAGTCATATTTTTTCATGTTTGCTCAATTCAGCCTTGAGGAGGAGGTCACTGTGGATGTCCTGGCAACTCTCCCTTCCCTTTTAAAAAGCCTTTTCAAAAAATTTTTTTCCTGCCCTTTCTTTTCCATTGCCTACCTTCACGTTGACTCCTTGCCATGTCTCTTTATGTGCCGTGTGTGTGTTGCCTCTCTGTCTCTGCATTACTTATTTTTTGTGCTCTGCTTACACTGGGAAGACTCAAAAGCCCTAGCTTATTTCATCAAATCTGGCTCAACTTTCCAGGCATGCTCTACTTTCTAAATGGCCTTACAGATGCATTGTGGTTCAAAAGCTTATTTCTACTGCAGTAGACATTACTATAGGCAGACTTTGTGGACATATTATCGTCATACATATATTCAGAGGCTGGTGAGGTCAATTCAGTATTTTATTATCAGTATACAAGTGTACAGTACAACAAAGATCATATCTAGTCTACAGTGGTGCAAATGTAGTAGACATACAATTTGTGACCATACAGTTCACATGCAACAAACGTATGTAGTGCAGCATATCAAACATAGGACAGTGAGCATTCAACATAAAAAGTATCGTAATGTAAGCAAGTATGACAACAGTATAACAGTGGATGACAATAGATATTAATGGAAAAGATTGTGTAAAGTTAAATTTTCTCATACATGTTATACTCAAGAACATGCAGACCTTCAATCTGTATCGAAATTTAGAGAAATTATAGTCTCCCAAATGTTTAGCTCATTCAGCCTAATCTCTATCTTTAGCACCTGTATTGTACAGCTGATTAGCGCAGACAGTAATTTCAGTGAGATTCACTGACTGTAAACGCACTCATAAAAGAAACTATTGGGCAGTTACTGAATTCTGTCAGTAAACATTGGTGCAAAGTATGTGTTTTTGTAAAACATTTGCATTATGTGGGCAGAATTTTCACATCTGATCTCACAGAAGAGCTAAAGCAACTGGAGCTACTTCAATTTTTCACTGTCTTGCTCCAGTGTTCAAAAGTTGGATAAAACTTCATTAAATAAGACATTCTGTCATGTCTGTCTCATCCTAAGACCTGTATATTTAGAGTGCGGTGGATTTAGTATTTCAAGCGCTTATTCATAGAATTCAGCAACTGCCCACTGAGTTTCAAGTTAATAGGTTTTCTTTCACAACATGTGAAACATGTTGAAATTATTTTCTGTGGTAATTGACTGTACGCTACAGATGTGGCAAATAGAGATTAGGATGAAAGGGGCTGGAATTTTCCTTTAAAACTGAAAAAAAGGGATCCAGTTTTAACAGAATGTGAGCACATTGTTCCTGTTTAAAGCTGGTGTCACATTCTGAGGATGGTCCATAGAGCATATCATTGTTTTATTTTCATTTCTCATAAGAGCCATGTGTTCTTTAGGGTTCATGAGATGTGAAAGGCGTTTCCTTCCATTGAGGCTGTGTTATAAAGCGCAGCCTGCTGTATGCCCTGCTCTACTTTGGGGTTGGGATTCTTTCCTTTATCTTTAAGAAGTGCCGCTTAGGCCTTTTTTCAGATTGCTGTGTTTTTGTACATATCCGACAGCAGGGGCAGTGATGAGATCTATTTATGTAGGTTAATAAGGTGGCCATACTAGGTCACTCAGTGTATCTGTGCAAAAAAGTAAGGAAATGCACTCTTTCTTTAAATGAAAAGAAAAGGATGGTTTGAGGTGAAATACAAGCTTGTGGCAGTTTTTAGTTTGTTGTTATATCATCCATTGGTTTTGCTCTTTGGCTGTTTCATCCCACATACGTAGCACTGCTCCTGTTTCATAAAGCTAGAAATCCAATCAAAAACTCGCACAAGTCTCGTTATAAATGTTGCACAATACAAAACGCTGCTTATCAGGCAAAGGTGGATCAGTCATTGTATAATTTCAGAATAATCTCCAATTCTATGAGTCTCTCCATACACTCAGCTGAAGCACAGCCATAATAGAGTGGCAGTTTTTTGTTTGCTTTTTGTTGGGATATAGTATTTTCTCCAGAGGTCAGTAAGCCCTCGTCTAAAGCACTAGCGCACTGTGTGTAGCTCCCTCTCTCCCCTCCATCTCCTCTTGGCATGTGTGCCTCTCCCCTGCTCTCCTTCTCACCCATCCCACCCTGCCATCGCCTGTAGGCTTCTCCATCTGCATCGGGCCGAGAGCCATAAGAGAGGAAGGCAGAGGGGCTGGCTGAAATCTGCTACAGGACGACATACATAAGAAACAAAACTACTACTGACTGCCTCCGGTCTTCAGGTCTGGAGTGGCTTTTTAAAGACTTACTGTATCTATCTAGGTTTTTTTGTACATTGAATGTCAAAAAATGTTATATCTTATATATAGAATGCATTATGTCATATCATACTTTTTGTATACAATCAATAAAACAGATGCTAAAAGAGCTGTCTCTTTGAAATTGTCTAGGGGTGGGAAAGTTGAATGTCTATAAGCACTCGCTGGCCGCTTTATTAGAAATCTTGTAGCTCCACCTTGCTGGTGCACAGTCTATAGTCCACCTGTTGATGTGCAGTTTGTATTACCTGTCCTCTAGCCTGTCATCAGTGGTCAGTTTTTTACCACAGAGCCCCACTTGGCTGGATAGGCTCTAGTTGTAAACCTACAAAGTGTGTCTGTATAGTATTTATTTCTGATAAACTGGGCACATTGTGGTAAAGTGACAACTCCGTATATACAGTACTGTGCAAAAGTCAGAGACCACCTTTCATTTATTTAATTTTTAGTCAAAATTGCTATGAAGTACAAATTCATTTTCAGGAGATATTTCTGAGGAGATATAAGATAATTCACTTGCATAAGTGGAAAATTAAAGGAAAATGAATGAAAAAAAAACAGTTCCCAAAGCTATAATTTAAAAAATTATTAAAAGATAATAAGACTCCTAACAACCTTAGACTTGACAGACCACCAAAACTGTCCCCATTCATCTTTGAGAGAGAGATCAAGCTCCACTTTTGCTTCAGATCGGAAAATATTCCCAGGTGTTTCTGTCCATCCTTCCACTGTGAGAAGACCACGCAGCGCTATGAGTCTGAAAGGATGTGTAGCTGTCAAGAAGCCATGAGAAAAAGAAAACAGAAGGAGGAGAAGAGAATTTGCAAATCAAAGAAGCTGTTGGTGTTCTTAGAACAATGGACTGACCACCATCCAGACCTCTACATCACTAAATGTGTTTGAGATTACTTACTTGTGAGAGAACAGAAGCTGTAATAAAGGCAAAACGTGGACACAATATATAAAATCTTTGAGTATTTTGTGTTATTGAGGCTTCTGTGTAATCTTATGAAATATGTATTCTACCTTTTTCCTGAAGATAACTTGTATTAACTCTGTTAATAAAATAAATGAAGCATTGCATCTGACTTTTGCACAGCACTGTATGTGTGTAAGAGAGCAAGTAAAAGAGTAAGAGAGCAAGATTGAGAATTTAATGTAGCTCAGGCTGTCACAGCCATGACACTACATCACTTCAGGGAGGACTTGTTAAAAGTGACAAGCTGCCAAAAGCCATTATGTTTACAGAGCGTATCAAAGCGGGAGGCATATCGTTCTGAAGTACAAAGACTCTTATTTACTCCCAATAACTTTTAAGGGGGGAAACATGAACTCACCACTCGGGCTAAACAGCTACATCAACAAGGGGCAAGTCATCCCCAAACTGCATCACAGCCAGAATACTTATGGATTTACTGTAAATAGGTGAGGCTTTTCTTAAAGATTAGAAATCAGTTCAAAATGCAGTGTTAAAGTACTCCAGAGAAAGCACGGCATTTACTAAATATTGTTTATTTAAGTTTGTGTACCTACAAAACAATGCTTAAAGAATGCCACCCCCCAGCAAAGCTGGTTTACAATACTATCAAAAAGAATAGATCGCTGGGTAAAGACGTCATGTAGTCATGCACTATATATACTTCCAAATGACCGACAGTAGAGAATGAGGATGAGTGAGTAAATTATTATCACTGCTTACTGCTACATAAACTATTTCCATGCCTGCATGGGTCTGTTTTAAGTCTTACACAGGGTGCCGACACCTGCATTTCGTTTTGGTTTTCAGGTTTTGGTCCTCTGAGAGAAAAGAGAAAAGGAATCAATCCTAAAGTATGAGATCTACAGAACTTGTCTACAGCTTGAGTGTACAGGCATGAAACCAGGTTGTTTTGATTATCTTTTTAGTTTGGACTAATAATATCGTATTTCAGTATATGTAGTTATATGAGCATGTAATCATAAGCAAAAATTCTATTCAAAACACAATAAAATGAAATCTAGCATGTTTCAATGGTCACCCAAAGATATGACCAAATCGGTTAAAAGACTGCAAAGTCATGTTGGGTGATTTCCTGCTGTAACATGTTGACTAAATGCCTTGATTTTGCAGCAGTTATAAGGCAAAAGGTGGATTTAATGACAAAAATTCAATTCTCCTGATTTGATGTTCGTTATATTTTGATCTATATACTCTTTAAAGAGGGGGACAGCACAGTGGCACAGGGGGTAGCGCTGTTGCCTCACAGCGAGAATGGCCTGGGTTTGATTCCCGGCTGGGCGACCAGGGTCATTTCTGTGTGGAGTTTGCATGTTCTCCCTGTGTCTACGTGGGTTTCCTCCCACAGTCCAAAAACATGCAGTTAAGCTAATTGGACATGCTAAATTGCCCCTAGGTGTGAGAGTGTGTGTGATTGTGTGTGTGTGTATGTCTGTCTGTCTGCGCCCTGCGATGGACTGGCGACCTGTCCAGGGTGTATCCTGCCTTCCGCCCAATGACAGCTGGGATAGGCTCCAGCACCCCACTGCGACCCAGAAGGATAAGCAGTTTAGATGATGTATGTATGTACTCTTTAAAAATCAAAAGGGCCAAATGGAACCAAAAAGTGTTTTTTGAAGTGCTGTCACAGAAAAAACACTTTTCAACCTGCTTTGTTTTTGTGAAGAACCTTTGTAAAGTTTAAATTGCCTCAACATAATGTAAAGGCTCTATAATACTGGTCACCAACCTTCCTCTTGGAAATCTAATTTCCCGCAGACTTTGCCATTACCTACCTTGTTTCATCTCATCTAGCCAATCAAGGGCCTTCTGTGGGGCAGAACTGCATCCATTAGCCTAAATTTTGACAAAATTCATGATTCTGTATCCGTCCATCGGTGTTCTCTCGCTACCCAGCATGCATTATGCAAATATGTCATACAACCACTGGGAATCACCCCACTGTAATAAAGCAGGTGTAGAGGATAATAAATACAGTTTTTTGGCTTCCTGACAGCAGCATTAGCTATCTGCCTATTGCTGCTACTAGCCACCTAGCAGAGAACACAACCAAACAATATATTAAAAATAGCCTGACCCCAACAATCAACCCCAGAGTTTTTTAGACATTTTTTTATCTAGTCTTTACACTGTGACATCTCATTCTAGAGCATAATTCTGGACATCAAATACAGTTTTCAGTTCTGGATTTTGTAATTGCTGGTAGGTGCCAATCAGTTACATCAATATTTCATTTAACTTCCAGCGATTACAAAATCCAGGCCTAGAAACTGGATTAAAGGGCCGGATCTGAAGAACTCTGCTCTAGAGAGTACTGTGATACCGCTGTAAGAGGCGGGTAAGCATGTTTACAACAGATGTAGCAACGGTTAAATGTTCAATTTTGGTTAGAGTGTAACTTTAATGGAGCAGGTGTGGCAGATGGCAGTTGGAATAAAGGACAAGGGTTGATGACCACTGTTCTTCACCAGTTAAATGTTTTCTTAGAACTGTACATCCAAGCAAAGAACCATTTAGGAGCTTTTTTATGTTTCTAAACTACATGAAATTGTGTTCCACACATATTTGAAAACAAGCTAAGATGTAAAACTGTTTCTAGCATATGTACTAAAGTATCTGATGATAGTATCTGTCCCACCACCAGCAGCTAGTATACCTGTATGCAGACTGCAAGAATCAACTCTTATTGCTGGAAATTTAGTACATTACATTACAGTATACAAACCGTTCATAACTCTAATCTCCTACAAGACATTTCACTAAGAGGTGTGAACTTTTTTGTCTGATGACAGCAATGAATGTCTTAAAGAAAATGTATCCATATAATTATGACCCATGTTTGTGTCTCTTGAATGACAACTCCAATATAGGGCTAAAGGTTATACAGAGTAAACTATTGTTTTCTGGATTTACTGCTGCTAAAAAGACAATCCTACAAAACTGGATTACCCCTGGACTTTACTTGGAATCATTCTGGGCTGTTAATTTACTTAACATAGCAAAACTTGAATGTACGGCTGCGCGACTTAACCATGCTAAGCACATGACTGTTGAAACATGGCAAACTTTTGTGTTACGTATTTTGGATTTCCTGCAAGGTATACGTTGAATATGGACATTTCATCCCTTATTTAATTTTGTGATGTTGTACCTATGATCATTGTTGCTGTCTATGTCTCTCTTTCTTTTTGACTGTCTGTTGCCCCCTATCCCTTGTTGTTTGTTGTTTGTGAAATAAAAATTCTTGATCACAAAAAAAAAAAGAAAATGTATCCAGAAAAAGAGGAAACAATACGTAAGAACAACAGAGAGACTCCTTGAAATTATCTGAACTGCTTACTCTTTCAAAATGCAGTTAATTCATGGAGTGTCTCTCATACTTACTTCTCATACACATTATCAGATTTCTACCACCTAGCTTGCATTCTAGGGCTTAAATAGGGAATATCCCTTACAAGGCCAAAGCAATATTCAGCTGAGTCATTTAACCTCAATGATAGGCACGTTATACAAGAATATAATTCTTAATCACTAAGGCTACAAAAGAATAAAGCTATAACCACAAGCAACCTTCAGCTTATGTGGAAGTCTTAGAGCAATAGTTCCATGAGAAATCAATTGCACACTATTTTCCCTTTGCTTAAATAGTCTTGCACTGGAGCTACCAGGATAATGTAGTTAGGTAATGAAAGTTTATAGCTGCCAATTAGCATTGAATAAATCAGGGGTATTCAGCTGGTCCTGGAGGGCTTATGTCCACTGGTGACTGGTGAGTTCCCTGCTCAAACACACCTGATTCTCATCTTCTCATTGCCAGGGTTTGTTTGAGAGGGAAACTGTCAAACTTGTGGACACCGGCCCTCCTGGATCCCAGGTAAAAGCCCCTGTCTCAAGAGGACAAAAAATGCTTTAAGAGGATAGCTACTTCTGTTTTAACAATGCAAAGTACTGTCCAGTTTTACAGATAACAGCGTCATATAAAAAGTCTTTTTGAGATTTGAACTTTATAAGATTAGCAACTTGACCATTTGAGGCAACTGGGTTTGCAGGTAAACATTTATCATTTGTTAGCTACATTAGCTCCAATGTAAAACTAAAGAAACAAATTTCATTTGGACGTCAAATATGTCTTGTCAAATATTGTTTGCTAAACTATCACTTTAACACTGTTGGGCTTGGTGGGCTTTACTCTGCTATCTGCTGGGAAACTTGCTGGATCAGTTGAGCCTGCTGCTCGGCGTGCAGTTGCGGAGACGGGTGCAGGTGGCAAGTCGGTTGCCCTCCCAGTAGCCTGCATCCTGACCATCATGGCAGCGGCACTTGGTGCAGGAATCCACCCACACTGGCTCTCCTCCAGGGATTATCTTGGTCCTAGAGGCATCCACATAGCAGTTGGGACCTGAGGATCCACAGAATATCTAATAAATGTCATTGTTTCACTGTTCCACAATGAAAGTGATTAATAAAGAGTTAGGACTGTGTATTAGCATTATTATGATGACTGATTTGTTTAATAACTAGTGGACTTTCCATGTTTGGTGGGTACATTTTATTGGGTGGGTACAGTGTTTTGCTATTTTCCTGCAATTTCCTAATGTTTTATAGCATGTCAAGTAATGAACCTTTTTGGACTCTTCTTGGCTGTTTACACCTTGCATTAATATGCATTTTTGGTGATCAGATAATGCTCTAATTTTACTTGACTGAATGAAAAGCCAGGTGTAAACAGCCCCAGGACGCGCTGTAGGCAGATTTGTCTTATCAGTCACATTCTGAGGTGTTCAGTGACTGAGCTTGACCGCGTTTATCACAAGTGTAAACGGAATACGTTTTTGTTATCTGTACACAATTACATGAGCGGAAATGTCTACTGAGTGCTGACTAGCGGGTGAAAGGATAAACAAGGAAACGAAGGTGCGAGGCTGGAGTTTCCCCAAACCAAGCGCCTTCATGAACTCCAGGCAGAGGAAATCGTCAAAGCCAAGCTTGTCCACTTGTATTATAACAGGGAAAACAAAAGTAAAATGGAAATGATGTACGTGTTGACATGCTTTTTTAAGCAGGAAAAGTAAAATCAGATCTCATCTGGTCATACTGGGAACACTTTTGATATTTTTCCATTTATTTCATGCATGTTGCAACTTGCATACCTTTTGGCCTCCCTGACTTCCACAAAACCAACTAAGAAGGAATTTTGTTTTATTTATTTATTTATTATTTGTTTTATTTAGACTGCATGTGAAAGTGGCTCAAATTTGATTTACTGCTCAAATCTGATTTTGTTGTCTGGACGTTCTAAATATATCTGACGTACACCTAATTCTGAAACACGATTCCGCTCATTAGAAAGCGCTGCTTGTGCATATTAGTTTACACTGACAGCGCTTGTCTTGCTAGTCTGTCAATACGAAAGAAAGGAACATTTTGGCCGCTTTTCCACTGTCCAGCCAAGCGGTTCTCGGGGGCTTACCGGGCCGTTCTGCGCTGGTTAATATCAAGCTAATTAGCTACGTATCACCCACCACAAAACACGTTTAGTTCCGGCTGTCATTCGAACACCAGGCGTGCTCTGTTGTAATCGGGTGTCATTTTGGCATCAGTTACTGAAACTGAACCTGTAATTTACTGTGCTGGGTTTCACATGTAGTCGGCTAACTACACTAGCATTAACGTCGGCCAGTAGGACGCAGCTCAAAGCACCAGAGAACATTTTTTTATATTTCTATCACTTCAACGCCAAGTCTTATGAATTTGCGCGCTCAAGTGAGTCTGCATCCTCTAAACCGGTTTTTTTTTTCAGCAGCTGTTTGCTGGAACCAAGTCTGTACTGGCGTGGGAGACACTGTACGCTTGCGTTAGCCTCGCAGGCTACTCAGTATTTTAAAATACTGAGTTACAGAATATATTTGATTTCGGCTTTCTGTCCCTGCAGCACCAGTCAGTCGACTGTGATTTTGCTGAAATAAGTTTTTATTGTCTGTACTGGTGATAGCAGAAAGAAGCCAGTTAACATTAGCTTAGCTTGAAAGCTACAGCTCTGAACACTATAGAACAGGTTCAGCTTTCCATCCCTCTATCACCAACCACTCGACTTCATTTCCTCAGGTTTGAGTCATTTTCATCTAAATCTGCGTCAGTAAATCGTTTGTTAATCAGAACCTGCGGTGAGCCGTGCTGACAGCATACTAGCTAACCAAGCTAGTTAAACCAGTACCAACCAGCCACTCTCCTGATTATCAGTGCCATTTAATATTTAGAAATTGGCGTTAGATTAAAGCTTTGACGTTTTAGTGTTTGATTTAAAATTCTGCACTGCTTTCTTTTCTTTGGCGTCCGTGTAAGTGAACCTATTTGATTGTTTTCGGCTTTGAAATAACGCAGCAGGATGCTGTGGCAAAATACCGACAGAAACAAAGAACTAATCAGCGAATAGCTTCATCGTTTTATCATCCCATCCGAACAGTTCACTGAGCCAATAATATATGTCTGCAGAGCCACAGTTTCACACCAGCCGTTTCACTTACGCAGGTTCAAGCCACTGGGATTTAGCACACGTGCCGACACTTGGTTTTTCTTAACGCGTTTTAGGCTAATCAATATTTCGGTTGTTTTATGGGGGTTTACAAAAAAGTTCAAAAGTGCTCAAAAATATAAGTGTTGTTAAAATGTTTTGTGCTGTTTTATATTCAGAAAATATAAAATATAAAACGTTTAAGCATTTACAGACTCACCCGGGAGCATCTTCTAGCGTCTGGGAAACCCGGAAGACATTATTGATTTGGAATTGTATTGGAAGACAATATTGACATTATTGAAGACTTTATTAAGACTCGTCTCTACAAGTTCTCTGGTTCAGACAGTTACAATGTGTTTAATTTTTAAATCATTTGGCAAATTTGGTTCTTATCCTAAGCAACGTCTCCATGCAAACAGAAAATGGCAAAGTGATACAAGTACATAGATAATATGTAATGGTTCATTACTGCAAAGAGTCCTGTCATAGCTTGTTACTTTGAAAATCCTATTCAAATCTGAACTTTAATCCTGACCCTAAATAATTTCAACCCCAAGATACAGTGTATTAGCTTATTATGCTGCCCCCATAATAAATCAGACCTCAAAGTATCATACAAAATTACCATGCTCTGTTTTATTTATATATATTTTTCCTTATAAGAAGGCTTTATCCAACCTATGTATTGTAGTCACCCCCCCCACCCCCCCATATGGGAGAGATGTTGTATGCTGATTAGCTCCCCAGAGTTGCCTTCCTTTTTCTGTGCTGGGGTAAATACTATAATTACCTCTGTATATTATAGCATAGAGAGCTGACGGCACTACTGGAATGAATTTCATGAGAAGCATTATCACATTTCTTGGCAATAAATTGGAGAGTGTGCTGCCCAAAACAGTACGTGCTCCTGCATTTTATCCTTTATTGCAAATCTCAGATTACGTGAGGATATTACATGTGGGGTTATTACCAGCTGAAGCTCACAGACGTGCACCTGGAATGCAGATAGAAGATTTTGCTGCCTCTCTGCAATAATGGGGTTCTGTTTGTGTAGGCTTTTGGTAGCCAAATTATTTGAGTATTTGAGAAATAGTAGGATTACTGATACACTGGTAAGTTACTGTTTGCCCAAAAGACTTTTTCTGTTTGAAGAAGCTTACCATCTTTGCAGTCTGGGCAACATTTTCCAGGTTGAAAGACAGGGTTTACACAGGGTGGAGGGGCGCAGTCTGCTACCAGGCACCTGGCAATGCCATCACTGTCACAGGTACACTGCTCACATTCTGATGGCTGTAAAACACACACATTATTGAGTGTAATATAGGATAACAAGGCCTGGCTTGTAAGCTAAAAAACAGCAAAGGGGATTTCACTCAGGAGATCACTTAGGACAACCATAATTAGATTACTTCATATTTATTATGTGTAAATTTGTATTCCTGAGAGTCTTTTTTCCTTTTGTGTTTGTAAGTAATGACTATGTATGCAAGGCAGATATCTATTAGGGCTGCACAATATATTTTTATTTATTGTTATACCTCCAGCTTCCTCCAGGGTCAACATGCCTTTGCCATCCTTAAATTGTCATTAAACGTTTCTAAGACCAAGATCATGCGGTTCCACAAACTCCCCTCACTTTCAAATTCACCACCACTGAGGGGGCAATCCTGGAGCAGGTTATGACATAAAAATATCTGGACATTTAGTTAGTTCATTATCTTTATCTCACCATGTTACCAAGCCAGAATCAAAGGTTAAGTCCTCCTTTCACATTCAACTGAAAGTCCCTAAAACAAACACTACATTTGGCTCCTCATCATTTTAGTCTGTTGCTGCAAATGAGTGGAACACATTATAAAAAAACATTAAAACTGAAATAATTTCTCTCAATTTCTTAGTTAAAGAATGATATAAAGCACATTTTTGGCCATTTGTCTGCCACAGTTGTCAACTTTTTTACTTTCTTCTTTTATTTTAATGATCATATTATTTGTTGCTTTTCCATTATTCCACCATTTTTTGTGTTTCCTTCTTCCTCATGTAGAATCTGCTGCTTACCAGGCTGTCACTGTAAATAAGAATATGTTCTTAATGACTTGCCTGGTTTCAAATCTTAAAACTTTTATCTCAAAAAACCTAAATGTCACTTTTCACAGTATAATTCAGTCCTACTATCTGTACATTTTCATTATGTTTCTGACTATAGGTTGTTCTGGCAATGTCACTTTTTCATATTTGTGAGTTCTCTGGGAACTCCTTCATGGTCTCCACTTTCTTGGCTTAAAGCCAGAGACTGAACCAGGTTGGTTCAGGTTGCTGCGACACAGCACGCCATTTTAGCACAATATCACCGGGGTCAAGTGACAAGTCAACAGTTTGGGCCATTCTCACTGAACATACTATAATTCAGATCCTCCAGGAGAAACACAACAAATTCTCTTAGGACTCCTGCCACCCCCTCACCCCACACACCCCTCCACCCAGGCAGCGGTGCCACCTGGGGCTCAGATGCGGAGGTGCTCGTTAAATGGGCTGGAAGAAAACAGCATGAACTCGGGAATATGTCTGCCCTCAAACCTGTCAGAGAACTCAGATTACCCCCTCAGGGTTCCTCCATTAGCCATTATAACTGAATCAGAGAGACAACGAAGCGTGCCTAAGACTGATCTCCATTGTGCACCTCCTGGGCCACAGCTCTCCAGAGATATTTCATTCTACATTTCCCCACGCTGTGTAGCGGAATGCTCCAGTGATGCCACGCTACATGGAACCATTTAATTTTTTTATCCATGTGGGTAACAAAAGGGCATATACAGTAATATGTAAAAGTTTGGGCGTCACTGGTTAAATGATGTTTTGTTAATTTGCTTACTGAAAAAAAATTAACATCCTCTATACAGCACATACTTCTGCCCATTTTAATATACGATTACTATTTATCTGCTGAATTTAACATACTGGGGGAAAAATAAACCATAAAATGTGGCCTGTGTAAAAGTTATGGTAGATGTTATGTTTTCTGATTTTTATCCAATATGTTAAACTCAGCAAAAAAAATTGAAGTTGTGAGCTAAAATTGCAAGGGAGGGGGGGTTGACTGGGGTGTTCAAACTTGCATACGACTAAATATTACACATTGTCAGGTATTGTCAGTATAAATGGTTTGACACAAATACGGATAATGTAGCTGATGTTTAATACATTATTTTACACTATTAAAGATTTGATTTATCACAGTGAATAAATAAAATATTTTACCTTTCACTGAATGTTATTTATAGACTTGTGGTTCTCAAACTGAATTTCTTGAGCCAGTGCAAGGGGAAGAAGAGAAAGGGAGTGCAAAGAGCAAAATCTTCTACACTTTTATTAAAAAAGAAAAATGTTTACTCCATTTGGTAACAATTACACTATAAATGTAATGCTTGCATTAAACCAATCAAACCCACTTCTGTTCCAAAAATGTAGCAATTTTGTTCATAGACAACTGTAGTATGAGGAATAAAGAGTAAAAAGAGGAACATGAGGTTCCATCTGCAGGTTAGGCTACAGTGTATATCCTCTGTCTCTACACCACTGTAAATGAAAATGGAGAAGAATTAGTTGGGTCATTACTGTCTATGCTAATATAATGTTTAGAAATACATTAATGCCACACAAACAATATGACACATTTTTGTGATTTAGGTGTAGTCTGAGTTTATGTTTTGATGTATTGCTCATAATCAGTTAAACTACCTTTTGGGTCATGAGGTTGGTGGAGAAGTGCCATTCCAAAGCTGAACAACATAACGATACTTTCTTCTTCTTTCTTTTACAAATGTATGTTTTATTTCACATTTCAAACCATAATATTTTCGGAGTGTCACTGGTGTTGCACTTTCTAAAACCCCAGTATGCAATAGGCCTACAGCTTTTTCAAATCCAAATTGATAGGTTTGTTTTTACTTTTTCTACCATGGGCCTCATTCACCAACTTATATAATTTTCACGAAGATTCTAACGTTCAACAGTATTTTCTTATTTGGGATTTGTTCTTAGATAAGAACAGAATGTACACACACTCAAAGGTATAAACAGTTCTGTGATTTAAGAACATGTCATGAATCTGACATAGACTTTTTCTTAGGACCACATTTAAGAAATGACTTTGGAAGATATTGGTGAATGAAGCTGAGTGTTTTCATCATTATAATAAAAGAATGAGACATGGGAATCATGTGACATGGGACATCCTATTAAAGCACTTTAAGGCCGTATTTTGGTTGCATACCTTTTTTAACTGAATAACAAAAATGAATCAGTCACTATTGTTTCATTCAGTGGATTCACAAAAATGATTTTAATAACATATATTTCAGATTTGACAAAAAAAACAATTTTCAGTGTAATATCAGTGATATGAATACTGTTTTCTTCAGTAAACTATCCAAAAATATATCGCACCTTAAGCTCTGTTTTTGTTAAAGGAGTTAACAGATGGACATGCTAAACCACAATAAAGATATGTAGTTTCAAGAATTAATTTGTCTGCTTTTCTCTATTCCAAATGCCTCCCTGTTCAGAGAATGACTCTGTTATGTTTTGCATGCACTTGCGTAACATTTTGATGAATTTCTACTTTTCTTAGTATTTAAAAATTTCTGCTCTACATATCTTGGTGAGGCAAGGAATCTTCTTTTTGCTTAATTTACTTCCATAATAATAATGTTCTGTTCTGTTTGTGACAACTTTTAGATTGTTCCAGAAAGAGGAACACAACCTAATAAACTTCAGTTTCTGTGCTATTTGGTTGCTGGATGAACTAATGAATTGCAGCTCTTACAGGGTTCCCAGAGTTTTTCTGACCTGGTACTTCTTACTAGTTGTTCTTGGTGGCTACATTTACTTATACTTGAGTCATTATATCGTTACAGTATTAATACGTACACTTGTGGCCGTGTTTCATTCTTCTCTACACAGCTCTGACCATAAACAAGTGATCCAATCAGCGCCGTGTATTTCAGTCTCAGTGTAACGCTGCCCTCTTGTGGCCGTCGTTAACAGCGCAGATGTAAATTAGCATTTTGCCTCACCGCACTTTGGACGAAAAGCTCATAGCTCATTAGCTGTCATGCTTAAGCTTATCACCAAGACGTTGAGGCTACAAAATGTTAATGAACACGACTACATCGTGTCTGTATGATCCAGCTCCTCTTTGGGGAGAAACAGTGTAATAACTATTAGAAACTACCAACTACGTGGTGGCGCTGCACGTCTAATAAAATTCCCGAAATATCTACACTTGCGTTCATACAGAAGACACACGATGTATAGTTTTCTGGAAATACGAACTTCAAAAACTGAACTTGAATGAAAAAGGTGGCTGGATAAAAAAACCACTGGGTGCAAGCAATGAGCACTGTGATGAAAGGACTCCACTTCATACTCACACATTTACATTCATACTCTACATACATTCACATTTACATTCCTACGTCCTTTGTGAGTTTAATTCCATTCTGTTCTGTTGATGACAACTTAAATGGGAATTTCACAGTTTTTTATATTTTATGCATAACTAAATCTTCAACATGTGAACACAGTCACTTAGAGTGCTTTGGTGTGAAATGCTCCGTTCTGGAGAAACTTACTGAAGTCAGTATTGTTTACAGTGGTGGTGATAGGAACCAGACATCTGAAGCTCCCTAACAGAAACATATTACATTAAATGTCACAAATGTCTATGAAAATAGCTGAGACATTGCTTTACAATAGTTTTGATAAGATTTTGGCCTAAAACAAATCCATTCATGGTGGAAAAGTACATGCAGAGCATTGTAAGGCACAATAGCACCCAAAGAAAACCTTTTTTTCACTACTATTTTACCATTAAAAACAATGCACTGAGAAGACATGTAGGCTTACTGGTCATTTTGGATAGTTAATTTGTGTTGTATGCATTGCAAGCCGTAGTTCCCATCACCACCACTGTAAAGAAATATGAGGTAATAAGTTTGTCCAAAATGAACCATCTCACATCAAGATAGTTATTCTGTTTAAATGTAAAGGACTGAATGCAAAAAAATAATATTGTCACATTATAGCACAATTATGTCTTAATAATAAACAACCAATACAGGTAGCAACCTGGCTCACGTATAAAATATATGTAAATATAGTTCCTAAGAATGTGGATTGAGAAACGAACTGTCCCTTTTTTAATAAAAAAGTTTAATGTATTCTGTAAACAGTGTTAAAGTGTCAAAGTGTAGCACTCCGTACATACAGTCTGTATATGGAAACTAAGCTTCAAACAAAGCCCACTGGGCTTATATCAGCCTACAGTAGCTTAGCCCCGCCCATTCACACTGACATAAATTATAGTTATAAGTTATGAGGACTATTTCGGATTGTTTTTGAATGAGACTCATTTTGTAGATATAACAGTCTTATTGACGCAGAACAAAAACAGCCTGGTCCCAGTTTTCCCAAAGATCAACCTGATATTTTTGCTTTCTAATGGGAATTGGCTAAATCGCTACACACTGGTAGGACACCTTTAGATCCCATTAGGAAACTATCACCTGCATCTGAAATCAGTCCCAGGACACCTGTTAACCATAAGAATGCTTTACAATGATATCAATACCGTTAGTGACTAGTAGAACCAACGGAAACATTTAATGGTTTCTACGAAACCAGCAGGGTATTGTTTTGCTGCTCCAGAACCCCTGATTCACCTAAAAAAGTAATTGATAATTACCTATCGAAGGGTTTCATGGGAGGGGAAAGAATAGAGCCTGTGGGCTGCACTGCATGCTGCCTTACATAAGTTACTACGTAAGTGTCTGTGTGCAAGTTACCTGGAAGGTCTGGCCCAGCTCGTACACTTCTCCCCGGTACTCGCAGCCTATCCTCTCGCAGCGCGGGCAGCAGTCGCTTGGGTAATGGCTCACGTGGATGCAGGCGGCGGGCAGAGCCGTGCACTCCGTCCGCGAGCACACCGAGCCCAGAGCCGTGCACTCGCACTGACTGCAGTGGTCAGAGTCCAGAAAGTACCACTCACCCACATAGTACACCGAGCCGTTCGCCTCACACGTCTCCTCCTGACCGGCCACGGGGAAGGGAGAGGAAAACGAGCCCCGGACACTCAGCAGAAACAGTAGAAGGGCACTGAACCCAGCCATGACCAACCAAGAAGGCAGAGACTGAGACCGAGTCAGGAGTTCAGAGACTCAGAGCTGGAGGCGCCTCTGCCGTCTGTTCCACTGTTAGAAGTGCAAAAGCGCAGAGCTACATCTCAGACCGCCTGAGCCTCAGCTTTCTCCTCACACTCACTCTCTCACACCCCTGCTCTGCTCGCAGCAGCGCCACTCTCACACTCTCACACTCAGAAAAGTTTTCCGCCTCTCGGATTATCTTTCACTTTTACACGTGACGGGCTGGTTTGGGGGTCAAGTAGACTTGCGTATCGATGATATGAACACTTTGATAGACGTCACTGTTGTTGCTATTATTATTATTATGATTATGATTATTATTATTATTAGTAGTAGTAGTAGTAGTAGGCTAGTTAGCTCTGGATTTTTCTAACGAGAAAATGAGGCAGTGAGTGTAAACATATTATGGCACCACCTCATGCCAAAGCAACCTCTGCTTTTAAGTTACAACTGCTTTTTAACATAAAATAACAACAACAAAAATAATAATAATAATAATGCCGTGTAAAATCTAAAACTAATAAAATGTGCAAAAGTTCTGATAATTTTCGTAATGAGTAGAGGTCGTCGCCTGTAATCTCGCGATGTTTTCTCCATGGCAACAAGACTGTTTACACTAGATACAGGAAGCGCACAGAGGAGCTGGTAGGTAAAAAACATGCACGAATTTTATAAAAACGGTTAGAAACGGGTTAACTGCTTTACAGCACAGCTTCTGCTTCCATTTTTGGGGTTGTTGCATTTGAGTAACAGTGAGCAATAAAAAGTTTAGCACCGTGAGTCTAAATTTGAGGTGTGTGTTGCTACCTTACCGAACAGATCTAAATGGTAATTCCACCCAGTTCTTCTTTATTTAGTTGATACGATGTAAACAAAGTCATTCGGAGTGGTTTTATGTGAAATAGTACATTGAGAAATAAGAAACCTTCAGATTTCTTTACAGTGGTGGTGATAGGAACCAGGGGTTAAATACAGCGTTTTTTATTTACTACACAAAACCACCAGTGGACCTACACGTGTCGTGTTTTTATATGCAATGTTGATAAAGGTAAAATAGCGGTAAATCCAAAATAAGTTTTTTGGGGGAGTTACGTTTTTTCCCTATGATGTCATGCATGTATTGTAAAAAACACATTCCAGGCTAAACCTTCTGGTGCTGATTTAACTGGTCCAGTTAAACTAGCACTGGTGAAGCTGGCTGACCATCATTCCAGCATTAAAAAAGCAACATCATACTGGTTTTGTTGGTGATCAGCCTAAAATCTCCCATCATCTCAAACCTATCAGAAATCAATGTCTCAGGCATCTTAGACAATATTGTGTGGTGGGAGCTTTTAGAAGCATCAAATGTTTTAGATGTTCTGTTACCACCACTGTGAAAAGTTCAGACTTGCTAAGTTTCTCTAAAACAGACCATTTCACAATAAACCATTGTGAATTTACATCTTCATGATTTAATTATGAAGAAATTTTCCATTTTAGCAATCTCACCACATCACTAAAATGTGTTTCTTTTACTGGAAGACATGTTTTATTCATTTGCTGAGAGGGAGAGAGAGAAAAAGAGAGTGAAAGAAAGAAGTGTTAGGGCCACATCACTGTACACACCTACATGGAGGTAGCAAAGGGTCATTTTCCTACACAAAATATGCCAGAATAATAATGAGCATGAATTCCATTCTGATATGAGATAGTTTGTGGTGGTCTGTTGCTGGTTTAACTGCTCCCCCAGCATTCCAGCATCCAAAACACATCTTTCATTGTTGTTGATCACCGTGCTAGCATCCAAAATGCAATATGTGCTGTTTTCCTAACAACATCAGCAGCTTCCTATAACTGGGACTATTTTCTCATTAGAAAAAATGTCAGAAAAGTGTCAAAATGTTTAGAGACAGCAAGACACTTTTCAGACCTTTATCAGCCAGCTTCTACGTGGTAGTTTTGACTGAGATTTTTTTGTCATAATTTTCTTGTTTTATGATTATGTATAAACCAGCAGGACAACATTCGTTTTCAGTTACTCATGCAGATGTCTACTGGATGTTGGTGAGACTTGTGGCTTCATGGAGAGTTTCCAGCCCCAGCAGTCTGTATGGGACCTGGTAAAGGATTGCGTGCCTGACTCTGAGCTTTCAGAGATAAGGACTGTACTTGGAGAAGGACTGATAGACATGTACACTGAAATATATTCTGAGGTAAGGAGAACTGTGGTTTACAATAAAGTCAACAGAGTCTGTTAAAGACTTACAGATTTTTAGGCTTTCTGAAGATCTTAGCAGGCTACTTTGAAAAATGGCATTGTGCCACAAATTAATTAAAAAGGAAAGCTTGGAATCACTGAACTTGGCCAAACTAAACCTAAAACTGTTCTTTTGTTGAAGTTAAGAAGCTGTGTTACTCTGTAAAATACAAGTTGTGGTTTGGCACAAATGTGGTGAGACTCTCTGGCTCATGTTTACTTATCACTAGTTCAAACCTTAAAACCTTTTGCAAAGCACAATGTATTTCAACAGGACTACTAGATTTGAATGTTGGATATCATGCATGTCTGCAATAACAGCTTATATCTTCATATCTACAACTTCAGACACAAACTCTCTCTGCAAACTCTCTCTGTCTCTCTAGGATGATATGAGCACTGAATGTCCTGCATTTTATTTCTATATCACCCCCTTTCATCTAATGCCCTGATGCTTTTAGTCAAACCTAATACACAAGTGAAGCACTACTGAGAACTTTCTAGTATGTAAAACAGATGCCTAGATACTTCATTTTATAACGTTTTACAAGATTAAACTCTTCTAATATAGACCATTCAAGTAGTAATGTTTTGTGATTTATATGATGGATCTGAATGTTATTCGCTGGTTTATAAGAAAGTAGTAATGTAAGATGTGGTGTGTAGAAGCATAAGCTGCCATGTGCTTTGCTGCAAATGAGCTAAACAAGTCAGGAGGCAAACATGAGCTTTAAATGCTCTAATTCCATCCTGTAGTTAAGAATATTAAGGCCTAAAATGACGTGCTGCTTGTTATAATGCTAAAGTTTCCGGCTGTAGGGTAAACAAGGGGGAAAAATAAGCTGGAGGATTTCTGTTCATTCAGCCTGAGTTCACACTGGTGGCAGGGCATATCATAAACACCTGGGTGTGGGATAAGAATGGGAGAGAGAAGCAGCTCGCATAGTCTTTGCTGGGGCAGTTTTAGATGGCCTGGTTTGAAAGAGCACAGCGGGAATAAAGAGCTGGTTTAATGTTCCCCTCCCTACGAGTGCTTTGAAGTTCACTTCAGGAGAAGGGGGGTGGGGGGCGCAGGGCAAGTTTGGGGCCAGGTGTGGAGAGCTATAATTGAGTTCAGACTGTGTGCCCCAGTGTGATTATTCCTGCTGTTTGCTTTCCCTCTTTCTGTTTTTTTCCCATGTCTGCTGGCTGGCAGTCTTATGCATGTGGATTTCTTCCAGCTCCTGAAAATTTCCTGGTCCCTCAGTACATTGTGAGTGTTTACCTTGGGTAGGAATTCCAACCAACTGACAGCACATATGGTCTATATCTAGTATAGTAGTGACTACTGTCAAGATTTCAGGGAATATAAGGCTCTTGGTGGTTCAATACCTGGCATTCTGCATTCAGAATGATTCTTGGCACAGATGCTTTATGTGGGTCAGTTTGTCTTTGTAGTGTATAGAGACTCAAGCTTGCTGCAGACTGTGCGATTACAGCAGTCTTATAAGACTGAGAGGGTGCCAGTATAATCATGGCCACATTATGTGGCAGACTATGTGTGCTGCACGCCCAAATCAACACATTCTGCTTGAGTTACCATCAGCTCTACCCACTTGTAGTTGTTCTGAGTTGTGCATCATCCCATGCCATTTTCCTATTAGTGGCTTTGTAGCTTTATACAATAGTTAATTCCAATGGCACAATCTGATTGGCTGAGAAGTATTCTAGCCGTTATTTCTGATAACAACATGTTTTTTTGGTTTTACATCAACTGTATCTTTCAGCTGAGCACTGGTTGCTAAGTAACAACTGCTTTTCAGCTAACTGTTAGTATGTTTCTACTTTACCACATACAAAACCAAAAAAATTAATTTGCTCAGATTCTGACAGTGGAACAATTAAATAAACTGCAATTAGCTGGAGAAGAACAGAAGACAATTCAGCAAACAAGATAGGCGGTGAACTGCCTTACAGACTAATGGGAACAAGATGACGTTCAGGTTTATCTGACTAGTACTGAAGTACTACAAAAAAGCTGAGCTGAACCTGAGACTGTGACCTTTTTATGGTTGTATGCATGACAGTAAAGTTGGGCTTGTATTGGACATTTCATTGGACATTCGACTTTCTTCCTTCAATTTCTGATTAAATAAATGTCCGAAATAGATCAAACCTATATTTTCTCACTCCTGAGAAGACAGCGAACAGACTATAATCAAATATAAAAATGTCTGTCATTAATTTTGCTGAACATAATAGAATCCGCAGACGACTGGTGTGTTAGTTGTATACAGTGTGCAAAATACCCCCTGGAGTCCCATGTTGGCTGGCTACTTCAGCCAACTCACTAACCATAGCAGTGCTGATGCTAGCTTCACTGGTTTGGTTTAACAATTCTTCTTCTGGAAATGCTCTTTTTTAGTTTGGTAATGTTGTCTTCCATACATCAACTCCTCTTCTGCCTTTGGTTTGAGAAATGAGTAACAATTCACTATTTCCACCAGTCTTTTGGGAAATTGGGCAAGTGTTCAGATTTACATATACTCTGCAGCATATTACAAAGTTTTTCAGAGGCATCCCAGGCATAGTTACAGTTGCTAGGCTATGAAGTACCAACCGTTGGAACCAGTTGACTACAGTGCCGCCCTCAGGCAGACCAGTACTGCATCTCTAGTTAGTTAAGAATGCCAAAGACAGAAGCTTGCTAATTATAGGTAAAACTTTTTGAAACATTTAGGGCATCTAAGAGGTTAATTAAGGGGTCTCAAACCCTCAGGAGCCCCTGTATTTCACACCTTGGTCTAATAGCCCTCTTGCTATCTTTAAACGTACTAGAATCTTTTATCCTTGGGGTCAGTTTGACCCCAGCGATTGAAACCTTCGAGAAATATCAAAGTTCTGGTGGGAATTATGATGTGTGAACTATCAGTGGTTCTCACACTACTGCAGGTATGGTTATGTTAGGTTATTGCCCTAGAGCAGAGAGAAGTTTTTTGAAGATTATAAAATTACATGTTACATTGACCTCAATGTCATCCAAAAAAGTGTGTAAAATGTTGATATTTCTTATGGTTTATGCTGCTGAAACAGCCTGGGGTTCAACGGCCCCACTATGTGATCATGTTAATGTTATGCAGTAGTACACAGTAGTACACAAAAATATGGTTCTTTAAAGGTTCTTTAGTAAACAAAATTGTTCTATATAGAACCATAAACACTCAAAGAACCCTTAGCATGACTAAAGAGTTCTTTGCATCATGAAATGGTTCTTCAGATTGATAGAGAATGTGTTGTAGATGGTTCTATAAAGAACGTTTTTGAAAAGGGTTCTTCTATTGTTACGATGTTAACAATTGTAACAATGGAAGAACCCTTTTGGGTGCTATAGAGAACCCTTTGAACTCTTAGAACAGCTAGGAGAGGACAGGAATTGGCCATTCAAGTAAGAGAAACAGTAGAGCAGGTGAGAGCTGGCACAAAAAGACAGAGGAAGACAGGACAATATAATGTAATATGCATATTAATTATTAGATTTTTTACTTGTTATAATTTTTTCACAGAATTTGATAATGACACAACAGAAATGCTCCAAAAGTGCTTGGAAAATAATATAGTTCCATTAACTTCCATTCAAAGTTAAGAATGTGTTTTCCTCCTCCTGTATAGTTTTGGAGATATGAGGTTTTGGTCCGACAGCAGCATTTTTTAATATCACCTGTTAATTATACAAGCAGTTAATTATTTTTAGATAAAGGTTTAACATTACCAAACTAAAAATGTTTAGATAAAGTTTTGGGAGTAGGCACAATACAGAACAGCCAGTTAGAACAGAGGTAGTTTACATATACCAGTCTTAAAGGCACAGTAACAAAAACAGCCTGTTTTATAAAGAGAGATTGGAAAATGGCAGTGTAGAATGAAGGATGACCGTTTTTGGTCCATAACAAATGTCATAAGTAGACAGATAAGTAAGAGAAGATATAAAATGTAAGAAAAATGCAGATTAACGCCTCTTTACCACTTCTAGTTGTATTCAAGTGACTTGTCACCACAGTAGCAGTGCTCTTACTTAAAAAAAAGCTACATTGTGTTTTGGGGTTTCGGGGATATGTAATTGAATGCGACGTGCAGAAAAACGTTTTGTAATGTCAGTTGGCCTTCGGACCTCATCCCTGAGTGGATGAATCTGATGATTGACTTCTTTTTGAGCTTGTGCGAATCATTAAAAGACGTATAACGTGATCCTACAGTTTTTTCACAATTTGTATAAAAAACAATCAAACATAGTGCTTTAAGCAGGTGTTTCAGTACTCTTTTTGCCCTGCTTAAAACCAGGTCAGATCGTCTGGTCCTAGGTCAGCTGTACTGGACTGTTGTACTAATACCCTGTCTTCCTGTGTGTTCTGCTTTTCTCTGTTGACTCATTGTAGGTGCAGATGTGGGAGCAGATTTGGCAAGAAGCTCAGAGTGAGAAGTGCAGGTCCCATATCCCCAGACCCTGCATGCTTCTGACTGACCCCCCAGCCATCAAAGAACTGCTACGGGCTGAGCTACAGCTACTGCTGCTCACTTTGCGAGAGAAAGCAGCCAGGCGGGGCAGGTAAGGAGAACGCCGCAAGTAAAGGTTATAGGGCTGTTTCAGAAAGCAGGATTTTAAAGTTTTGAAGCCAGATAACTTAATCTCACAACCTATTCCAGTAGTAAAAGAGGTCAGGGACATTTCTTCTGGACAATCTTCATTTTTGGCTTGGGTTATCCAGTTCACTGAAAAATCCTTATTTGTGACATAACCCAAAGCCAGTACTACACAACAACAGCACTGAAAAATGAAGGAAATGGCAAATTAACTTTTAGCAGCTGCATGCGGACATGAACTTGGGATCTGAGCTGGAGATGGCACAATAGTTCTGAAACCTTGGGTAGTTCCAGTCTATATATATATATATATATATACACACATGTATTTATGTATGTATGTATGTATCAGGCATAACATTATGACCACCTCCTTGTTTCTACGCTCATTGTCCATTTTTTTCGGCTCCACTTACTATATGTGCACTTTGTAGTTCAACAATTACAGACTGTAGTCCATCTGTTTCTCTGCATACTTCGTTAGCCCCCTTTTACCCTGTTCTTTAGTGGTCAGGCCCCCATGGACCCTCATAGAGCAGGTACTATTTGGGTGGTGGATCATTCTCAGCACTGCAGTAACACTGATGTGGTGGTGGTGTGTTAGTGTGTGTGGTGCTGGTCTGAGTGGATCAGACACAGCAGTGCTGCTGGAGTTTTTAAACACCTCAGTGTCACTGCTGGACTGAGAATAGTCCACCAACCAAAAATATCCAGCGTCCTGTGACCACTGATGAAGGACTAGAGGATGACCAACACAAACTGTGCAGCAGCAGATGAGCTATTGTCTCTGACTTTACATCTACAAGGTGGACTGACAAGGTAGGAGTGTCTAACAGAGTGGACTGTGAATGGACACAGTGTTTAAAAACTCCAGCAGCACTGCTGTGTCTGATCCACTCAGACCAGCACAACACACACTAACACACCACCACCACGTCAGTGTTACTGCAGTGCTGAGAATGATCCACCACCCAAATAAGTACCTGCTCTGTGAGGGTCCATGGGGGTCCTGACCACTGAAGAACAGGGTAAATAGGGGCTAACAAAGTATGCAGAGAAACAGATGGACTACAGTCTGTAATTGTCAAACTACAGCTAATTGTAGAAGTGCACCTATATAGTAAGTGGAGCTGATAAAATGGACAATGAGCGTAGAAACAAGGAGGTGGTCATAATGTTATGCCTGTGTATATATATATATATATATATATATATATATATATATATATATATATATATATATATATATATGTGTGGTGTGTGTGTGAGTGTGTGTGTATACTTGGTTTGCTTTGAACAGTTTAATAGCCCCAGTTTCAGCCTTTATATGAATGAGATAAAAGGAAATCATTTGTCCTGCTGCTGCACTCAGTTCAATACTAAAGCCCCATGAGTTTTTTCTGTTGTTCTTGATGTGGGTTTGCTTATTTTATTTAATAAAGTTAACTCATTGCACAGATAATGTGGTTACATGACTAACTTAATAAAGTTGGTCTCAGCCAGTCTCCTTGGCATCGGCTTTTCAGGCTCACATATGGAGTCACACTGCTTGTTATTCAGTCAAACTAGCTCATATTACCAACTATAAATGTAATCAAAATGACTTGACAACAGAGGTTTACCACACAGACTAATCGAATTATGACATTTTAAAGTTTTACTTGTGACTTTTTTCAAAATTCACCAGGCATGTTGCTAAAGACCTGACCTGAAAAACTGATGAAAATTGGGTAGCAAAGGAGGCTAAGCAGTGATTGGAGAGCTGAGGAAAATGGGGCAGGTGCTGATTGGTTCAATCCCAAATGTTGGCAGTCTAGTTGCACCCCTGCCTTGTAGTATGGCACGCGGCTTTTGTCATACACTGGATACTGTACTGTATTCTACTATGAAGAGTAGCATGCAGCATACAGAATATACTAGTGCAGTATGCAGTTTGTAGTATAGTAGTTTGCCATTTCAAATGCGCCCAATGCTCATTGAATGTGCACTTTTGATCACAATTTCCAACCCTATTTACTGATGTTTTTCCCATTCATGTAAATGAATGTAAAGTTTAGCCAGAGGTCACCACTTTTACCAACAAAGTGCTGGTGTGATTGTAGGTTTTCATTCCAATAAAGCATAAGCACATCTGATAAAGCATAAGCATAAAACACATCCAATTTTACTTTTTTTTAATCAGTTTTTAAATCCAATTTTACTTGGTTAATCAGTTGGTCTCAATCTTCAGGCAACTGAGTAGTAGGTTGTGACTGAAACTCCTGCCATATATGTCCCAATAATGAACCCTCTTTCAAAGTCTCTTCAATCTTTTCCTCCCACTATTTTGATGCAAACTTTAAATCAGCTGGGCTTGCTTACAATTTTATACCTGCCACAGAGAAAAGATGTTAATTGCTTAATTATATCATGCAGTACAGTTAAGTAGAAGATTCTACACTTGTTACGTTTTTCCACTTATGTATAGTCCAGGACTAGGCTTAGTCTCTGTCTCTGAAACCAAGTCTTACAACGCAGACATGTGGAAAGATTAGACTTCTTAAAACTAAGAAACTTAGATCTAGTATAATGCTTAGCTAGCTGCTTGTTATTCATGTTAACATTTGTTTACATGTAGCCACTGTTGTTATTTTTTGACCTACTGTACTTTATGTTGCGCTATAAGCAGTTCTGTGATATTTTCTCTGATATTTAAGGCAGCACTATATTTAGTCTGAGCTCATTGGACATCCATGCATAGGATTTCTGGGTGTCTAGGACAAAAAAAACTAACTGAACACATGACCTGTTCACACTCTCTGAGCTACTTCACACTGGGAGAAAATAAAATATCTTTTGGTTCAAAAAGAAAAAAACCCAGACGGTTTGAGGTAAAAGCTCCATTTCTCAACCTATGGTCCCCTTGCTTAGCCTTATATTCACCCCCTCACAAATAAAAGTGCTGATAAATGTGCTGACCTTAAAGAGGTCCCCAAGGTAGGGGTCAGAGGTCAGGACCCCACTTTGTCAAAAGTGGGCAGAGCCCTACCAGAAAGAATTCTGCTTTCAAAATCATTGACATGTTACAGAAAAGAGTGGGGGAAAGCTTAGCGGGTTCTTTACGTATTACGGCCAATTTGGAACATAATGGGACTTTGCCTTCGCTGCTTGCGGTTGTTGTAGTAGGCCTTTCATTCTTTTTACAAGTTGTTTAAGTAATACTTTATTTGCCTTTTAATTTGCAGCATTTTATGATTGTGTTGCAATTTGTTGCATAGTTATCTCAATTGGAGAGGGTCCTTTGTTGTAAAATAGCTGTGTGTAGTCTTTTTGGGGGGATCCTGCTGGTCATTGTAACAATACATCCGGCTGATTGTTTAACATTTTCTAAAGAAGTTATTTACAGGTGCCAATAAGACAGACGAAGTGGTCGTCTCTAAGTGATGGAAAGATGTTGGAAAGAATGCTGGGTCTGTCGCTGTTCTTCCTTTTGAATAGTGGTTTGCTTGTTGTCCTATAGAGCGGTTTACACACAGATGTAATGTGGTGAATCTTTGCTTGACTTGCAGAAGCATTGTAGATGCAAACCAGCATGATATAGCATTTAAGATCAAAAGAGATGACACAGATTCCCAGACACGGATAAAGACTAATCATAGAGTGAATAGTGTTTTCAATGGAGGTTCCCTATTGAGAGTGTCATTTGGTCCACCCAAGACTTAATCTGTGTCCGGAAAACTGTCCCTTAAACTGTTCATTAAATCTTCGGGGAAATAGCTCTGGGTAGCACTTGGTGCAAGACACCTCATTGTTGGGAGCAGGTGCACGGCAAACGGCAGCACACTAAATCAGAAAGAGCAATTCGAAAGCTCACCAAGAGCTTTAAAGAGTAATTTGCAATTTCTTTTATGTTGCACTGAAATAAATCGCCCCGCATGACACCAGCAGATGCCCAGCGCATTATCGCTCCTCTGAGAAACACCACTTTGTAGTCTTATTTGTTTCTTATGTCTTACTCTCCCTCTTTCTCTTTTTAAATATACAAACCCAATTCCAAAAAAGTTGGGGCAGTAGGTAAAATGCAAACAAAAACAGAAAGCAGTGGTTTATAAAACTACTTTGAACTGTATTTGAACAAAAGCAGTACAAAGACAAGATACGTAGTATTTTACCTGATCAACTTCACTGTTTTTAATATGTGCTCTTTCTGAAACTGATGCCTGCAACACATTCCAAAGCAGTTGGGACAAGGGCAATTTAAAACTAGAAACGTCATGAAAATTTAAAGAACATTTTAAATAAGTGATGCAATTGAAGCCTAGTCCTTTATGAGCAAGATGGGTCAAGGCTCGCCACTTCTCCAAAAATGCATCAGCAAAAAAGTCACTAGTTTAGAAATAATTTTCAACAACTATAAGTATTTCATCCTCTACAATGCATAATATTGAAAAATTCAGGGAATTCAGAGAAAAGGCATGATCTTTGACCCCTCAGGCAGCACTGCATGGGCTCGGGAGTACTTTGAAAGACTACTGTCAGTAAACACTGTTAATCGCTGCATCCAGCAAAGCAAGTTAAGACTGTGCTTATAACAGTGGAAGTCATATGTCAATAACGTCCACCAACTCTCGGACTCAAGCTCATCTGAAGTGAACTGATGCACAGTGGACATGTGTGTTCTGATCTGATTAGTCAACCTTTAATCATATTATTTTTGAAAATAATGAGCCAAAGAAGAAGAAGAATGAGCCATCTAGATTGTTGCCAGTGTGAAGTTCAAATGCCAGCTCCTGTCATGGTATGGGGGGCTAATTAGTGGGTAACCTGCTCATCTGTGAAAGCACCATTAATGGCAAACACAGTTTAGAGCAACATATGCAGCCTTCTAGACAGCATCTTTTTCAGGGATGCCCATGCTTATTTCAATAGGATAACACCAAGCCACATTCTGCATGTGTTCCAACAACTGTGTAATCAGAAAGAACT